ACCAATTAAAATCCATAAGGTAGGAACTAGTATTTTGAGCTAAACCATACCATCCCATACCGGTGCATACAATCCTCCATATCCATGTAAATTACAACATATAAATAATAAGCAAGTAATTTACAGTCCAAAACCAAATACCCATATCATTGCAGAACAGTGATTAAAGTTTCAGTAATTTAAATCCAAGATATAAACCATGTAATTGCAAGAAATGACTTAATAGTTCAACAACCAGCATCCAGAGCATGTATAGATCAGTTTTAATAAATCAACAACTCTATCATGCATTTAGGTAAGTTTTATAATCATGTTATAGTCCAAACAATTGCTAAATTAATTTAAACAATTTAGTTCTTTCCATTCGGTAACCTGATTTTCCAATAAGATTAAAATACGGAGAATAAGTATAATCCATTTTGTGATCCACTATGAGCATAATAATAACATTATTAAAATTAACATGCTCACTTTAAACTATTCCAAGATATTCAGTAAGTTTATAAGACACAATACTGTATATTTAGCAACTAGGTTGCCATTAAGCATAACTGAGCAACTAAGTTCCAGTAATTGATCATTCATGTCATTCATATAAATATCAATTTAACTCCAAGATAACACAACAGAATATACCAATTCACATGCTTACTTTTATACCAAACCAACACTAACTGAAACAAGTTAAATTATATATGTCAATTAATCTGCAGCTAGCAGTAGTTAAAGTTTAAGCATACTTGTTCCTACCACTGGTCCATGATTAACATGGTGTAATCATCCATAGTAATCTGCTAAATTAGTTTTTAAGCAATTAAACTCTTCATCTCCAATGACAGTATCCGGATTTTCATATCCCAACTTATGTTCTGTATCACCCTGAACAATGGTGTTTTAATACACAGTAATCAACTCTTAGAAGTTATAATATGGAGTTAGATCATCTCAAAACACCTCAATACAGCTCCCACCAGAATTTAAAAATCCCAAAATCCGAGCACCACAGCCCAAATAGTTGCCCAAAAACCCAGAAAACTGAAGAATTGAAGAGAGACTGCTCCAAACAAGTTGGAGCCGCCTCCAACCAAGATGGAGCCAGCTCTAAACCACTTGGAGCCGCCTCCAAGGCACTTTGAGCCGGCTCCATGTTTTCTTGGAGCCGCCTCCAACCTCCTCCCCTCCTTTATGCTTCTTCTCTTCAACTACGTCTTCTCTGGTGACGTCTAGTTTGATCAGTCCTCAGCTCTAATGATTTTAATGAATAAAACTAACTTCCAATGTCCTAGATATTGTAAAACCATTAATCCTAGATCCACTTTATTTAGAACTGAAAAATTCAGGAAAGAAATAAAATAAGCAAATACGAAATAAGCAAACACATACAGTTGCAGATAAACCTAAACATACCAACCAAATTCACATTCATACTTTCCAGTGTTACAAGCTAATTTAATTCTTTGTATATCACTTCACATGCATTATACATCCCGTTACATGAATTATTTTATGAGTTGAAAACGAAAAACCATAAAACAAGCAGTATAACTCATGGCTACCTTCAGTGAAAAATAACATAGACATGTAATCCAGTTTACTTTTAATTCTTATACATTCCTGGAGTTGCATTAGACATGTAAAGAACACAAGTCAACGGGATAGAGTTACGATTAGAACTTGCCTGTGAGTTTTTAGTTCAAAACCTCAACGTCGTCTTCCTAAGTTTCTCCTGCGAACTAGGAAATCCTCCTATGTTCCTTCCCTGCCTCCACTGTCGTGAATAGGGTTCTAAAACCCTAGGCAAAACTTAATACCTATATTTATAGGCTTACACAAGACCTAGGTTCAATTCAAACCCTACATTAAATCCTAGTCGGCCTATAGAAAACCTTATTTAAAATCTACGTCGGCCAACATACGTGACTTCTCAAAGAACCCTAAGTACTGAACGTATTTTAAAAAACTCATTTAACTTAATTACCTAATTAAACAATTCCTTACAACAGTGAGATCAAAATAAAACAAAACAGTGAGATCAAAATAAAACAAATAAACAAGTAAGCCAATTAAATACAAATTAAATATATAATTAAATTAAACCAACCAGTCAATTCACACATCACGTAATTCAAATTTCACACATAGTCACATAAGCACCTAAAAATAATAAAATAAATACTGAAAAAAAATAAAATAAATAATAAAATTTCGATTATATCCCTTTCAAAACTAGGGGTATTACAGACAGATTGTCATCTCCGAACCCGATATTGATACCACCTGACAGCCCTTAGTCTGGAGTGGTACATTTCTTCTGACTTTTGGTCTTCTTCCGACTTTCCATGTATTGTATGAATGACCTTCACCTGGTGACCTTCCATTTTTCGGGGATGTATTTCCCTCAGCTTTGTCTGTTCCTTCGGCCCGAGATAATCTATTAGATCTCTTCTGGCTATCATGGTTTCCACCTGTCGCCGAAGGGATTTGCAGTCGTTAATGGTATGCCCATAATCCCTATGGTAGGCGCAGTGTTTGCTTTTGTCCCTTTGTTCCAGAGGTTGTCGTATTGGTTGAGGGACTGTGAATCTTGCTTTATTTTCTTGGAATAATCGAGCCAATGTGGTACGGAGAGGTGTTAACCTTTCCTCGGTCTTCTGCCTTTTCTCAGGTTGTTGGACGACTGGTGCTGAGGCATACTGACTTATTTGACTAATCGGTATGGTCCCTTGGATCATACCGATATTGAATGCTTCGACGGCTGTTTCAGGGTGACAGTCCGCTATCTCCAAAGCTTCCATGTTATACCTGGACAGGAAGTGTTGTAACGTTTCTCCTCTTCTCTACCTTATAGTGAAGAGACTAGCGATTGTCTTTTTCTGTTTCTCCGTAGTACTATGCTAAGAACATTGCGCACAGAGTTTTGTAGTTCGGGATGGACTTGTGTGACCTATTCTTGAACCATTCCAGTGCGGTTCCTGTCAAACTAGTTGGAAAAACTTTGCACATGAATGTGTCGTTGTGGTTATCCAGAGTCATCTTCTGAGAATAGTTATCAAGGTGACGGGAAGGATCTCCCGTGCCATCGAACTGAGTGAAGACCGACATGGTGAATTTTTTAGGTCTGTCGACATAGTATATTTGATCAGTGAATGGAGTTTTCACCAGAGAGGCCTTATGCTCCTTGGCCATCTCGGCAGATATCTGAATCTTCAAGAGCTTCTTTTCATCAAAGACCTCCTGGACATCATTTTGAACGTCATTTGTCCATACTGTGAGCTTGCGGTAGGATTCAACATGTTCATCTTGTGTGCGCTGAGGGTGGTTGTTTAAAGCTACTGCCTCGGTTCTCGTCCTCTGCTCCTGCCGACTCTCGTTGGGTTGAGCTTCAGGAGGAATATTGTGGTTGAGGGGGACTCCTATTACATTGCCTGGTGGTGGTTGTGGTGCTATCTGCGCCATGGCTGTCTAAAGAGTGTCGTTCCTTTGTTGAAACAAAACAATCTGAGCCGTACTGGCCTCGTTTGCTTGACGGAGGGTCTCGAACTGCTGCAAAAACTCGTCTCGCATCTTTTGCATTAGTTCTATCTGTTAATCGACTATGGTTGCAGCTCCTCCGATTGACATTCCGGATCGTAGTAGCAAAAAATATTTCAAATCACTCATGGGGGTATATTTCTATACGTTTCCTACAAACGGCGCCAAAGTGTAAGTGCAAAAATTCGTTTAACGAAAAAGCCAAAAGAATAAATACAACTCACTCAAATAAAAAAACAATTAATAACAAGAACAATTCGAGAAAAGCTTGTAATGCTCGATGATCTTTATTGGAGGTTTATGCCTCTACTTATATACAAAATGATAGTGGAATTATGGTAGGATTCGCTATACTTGTCCTCCACGTTTTTCTGTATAAAATTCATTCCAAATACAATTCCTTACAAACAAGGTTCTTTCCTTTTTTAATTCTTTCCATGCAGGACTTTTCCCATGCAGAGCTTCTTTCCATATAGGATTCTTTACTATGCATGACTTTTTCTTATGCAGAGTTTCCTTATACGAGGGATCCTTTGTTAAGCAGGATTTGATTAATCTGAACTAGTCCTAGATAATAATGTGAATGGGCCGGATGTGTTTTTTAGCAGGCCGAGAGGTTAACATTAATAACCTTAGGTCGATAGTGACTCTATTTGGGCTTGATCAAAATTGGGCTTTGATGGACTATCGGAGAACTATTGGGGTAATATCTTATTTTAATGACGTGGCTGATTCTTGGTGGGAGATTTTTCCCTCCACACTTACCAATCCCACAAGTATGTGTATAAGGTCAGCAACAATAAACTCAATATTTGTGTGAGTTTGTTTTACCATTCAAAATAAATAAATAAACTAATTTGAGAATCACCCTACATAAGGGATAGATTTGAGCCTGAGAATAAAAGAAATAACTGATGAGTTTTGCACTATTTTAAGAATAAGGTTAATATTGAAAGAAAAAAAAAAAAAATCAAATTTGAATTTATTTGAAAATAGGTCAAGACTTTTTTGTCCGAGTGAAATTTTAATAGGACTTTATTTGCCTTTAAGGTGCAAAAGTAGGACTAAGTTGTAATTTTTTATTTTCTTATATATATATATATATATATATATATTCTATTTTGGAGTGTCAAGCGTTAACTTTATAATTATAAGAAACCTTATGGAAATACCATCTTAAAATATTACCTTTGTTTAGCATTTTCTTCTAATTCTATTTTCTTTGTAGGTAACTTATTCAATGTACCTTTCAAAAAAAAAATCCCCAAAAAATAAACAACTTTATCCAATTTATGAGTATAGGTGAGTGATGAAAAAATAAATAAATAAACTTCGACCAAAGTTAATTTTGAAGTATAATTACATGATATATATATATATATATATATATATTGACTAAGATCAACTTGCCCTGTAATTAATTTTAACACAATTCCTTCTCAAAACACGAACACTCAACAACATAAGCTTGATAAAGTGAAGATTTTATTTATAAATAGCAAAAAACAAAAACAAATTAGACACTTCATTTATTTATTCCGTAATAATAATAAAAGCAGCTTATCACCACCGTCCAGATCACACCTGTACAAAAGACTCACATCAATCGTGTCAGTACTCAACACCCTACTGAAAGTGAAAGCTTATTATGGTTCACTAGCTCTCACATCAAAAAGGAAACGTAATGCAACCAGGACACGTTGCGGACACTGAGATATAAAGGACACTATTTACATGCAAGCCCCGGTACGGTAATCGTCACCTTAGCGATGCTTGCTCCTGGTCTCCGCACTGTAGAGCCTGCGATCACATAAAACCCGCGTCATCTTAGTGCCATGAAATCAATCACTTAGAAAAGATCCAAGCCGTCGATTTAAGGATCTTCAACTAATGACTCACCAATGGTACATGTTTTTAAGATCAAAAGGTTTTAATTGCAATGAAACAAGATATTGCGTGTGTGTGATGTAGCCATATTTTAGTTTGCTTAAAAATTAAAAAATGTAGCCTTTTTTTGCATTATAAGGATACTTGTTTAGCCGGTAGATTGCGTTGGTATTAAGTAATAAGATATTGGATAAGCCATGCATGTCATGTTATTAATATGCTCGACTAATATCATTGTATAGTGAAATGAATCTCAAAACTTAAAAAAAAATTGTTTGAAACTACTTATTTGTTATATTTTCATTGGTTGAGCATACTAATGATATGGTATGTTCGGCTTGCTTTGTACCTACTTGAAGAGAGAGTATTGGGTGCACTTGATACACCATGCACCGGACTCATTCGAGTCGTGTGCACGTACAACTCGATGAGCCGGTGCACCGTGCATTCGGCGTACCTAATATTTATCATTTCATTCTCAGTGGAAAGAGAAAGATAACTATGGTATGTTATGTAAAATAACATTATTATCCTTCATCAATTTTTGTAAAATTATATAATGAGTGAGATTGTAGTAGTAAAAAAATATAGCATAAAAAGGCCCCATCATTGTTTTGAAAGTTCAGCAATTTATTGATCTACAAACTGTACCAGATCTGATGAGAATGGACTTGGGCAACCATAACAAAAAAACACATTGGAAAAGGAGTTTGCAGCCCCAGAAACCTAACAGACTAAGGCGCAATATAAGAAGTATAAGGCCTAATCTCTTTGAACCCCCAACCACTTGGGTAACTAATTAACTACCATCACACAGGTGAGAAACATGATCAACTATGGCTTCCAAGGCTTTCTAATGGAGCAATTCGAAAGGAGAAAAACAAATTCCTTTGAGAGGCATCAAAGAATGACCTAGGGAGGTTCCAATTCGCGGCAATGGATGGCGCACCATTGTTGATTGATTATTAGTGTCATTTTTCTTAATTTATAACTCATTAGCCAAGTGTTAATTTCTCAGGAATATATATATATGTACGTGCATGAAAAAACACATTTGTACAAGCGATCCAGTATACACTATTCCATGCAATTGGTACATATATAATATGTCATTATACGTACGTACCAGTCATAAACAGAGGGGGAGTTAGGAGTTGGCTTGTCAAAGACCCCAGCACCAATATCTTTGGTGGCGAGGTTGCTACCAGGATTGAAGACGCTCCTCCACACATTGTCCTTGGGCGCCGTCGTTGGTGACGGCGTTGTTGGCGTCATCGGTGTCTCCGGTGTCCCTGGGTTCCCCGGCATCGACAAGGACCTCTGGAACCTGCTCCCCTCTCCTTCTCCATCTGACCCACAAACCACACCATCACATATAACAATCACATGCTACATAAATGTGTATGTGTTTCTGCATATTATTGCTAAGAATCTCAGGGCTAGTTTGGTGAGGTTGAATGGAATAAAAGAAAGTGGAATGGAATGAGTTTTTTTTTTTTTCATTCCCGTGTTTGGCATCAATTTTAAAATTGAAATCATCATTCTCTGCTATTTTCATTTTAACAAAATCATTCAACTTTCAAATAAAATGAATGACTATTCCATTCTACTACACCAAAGTAACCTTTATAGTTAAGAATGTTAGGAGGAGTAGACACAAAATCATTCAACTTTTAAATAAAATGAATGACTATTCCATTCTACTATACCAAGGTAGCCTTTATAGTTAAGAATATTAGGAGGAGTAGACACGGCATAAAACATGAGGGAAGTGACATATCCACTAATGCCTGTATATATATATACTTTCTAGTTTTTAAAAAGATATACAATTAATGCATTGTCCCTTTTTAAAATTATCAACTTATCCTTTTTAGTTTAGATATGTATAATTAGCAATGTTGAAATTCCTTGAAAATATAAAGGATAATGATGAAAATATAAAGTTTATTTGCCTTACTTTTCAAAGTGGATAACTAATTTGGAACATCTAAAAATGAAAAAGTGGACTACTAATATGGGACAAAGGTAATATATATAAAGTGTACAACCAAATCAGCCTCATAGCGTTTGATTCTCTGTCCTCTACAACATGCTATAACAAGAACCCATTACAGCATAAGGATTTCAACTCCATCCACTTGATGCATTAAAGTGGAATTCACGTTAATCCCTAAACAGAGGCTATTATGCATTAACAAACACACACAAAAATAAAAATAAAAAATAAAAAAGCACTAATGTGTGTACCTTTGATGTTCAATTTTCCAGTGGTGAGCTTCCTGAGCTTGCCTAGGCCACGTTCTGGGTGTGGTCCGGCTAAAACATCATCCCAAAGTTTGTCTAGCAAAACCATTTTGCTCTCTCACTTTCTCTCTCTTAATCGGTTTGGTTCTATTTCTCTCTCTAAATGGATTTGGTTCTTCTGCTTATAAAGTTATTAAATAGAGGACGGTGCTGAAATATCTCCTATTATCCAGAGCTATCTCAAAAGAAAATGCAATTTCAAGGTGGGTTCTAATTAACTCACTTCAAGCCATAAATATATATATATTAGCAACTAAAATCGCGGGAAAAGAAAATTTGCAAGTGGAAATAGATAAATCAATAAAAAATAAAATAAAATTTCAATGTTGATTTATAAAGATGGAAGACTTCGTAAAAAAACGTGTGATCGTAGGAGAAAATATCTGAGTAGATCATATTAGTAGGGTAGAGGGGGTTAAGGGTTCATGTCCACGTGTCCACTTGTGATTATATGTTGTCCTCTTCTTCCGCTCAATATAAGTAACAAGTTATTGAATTATTTTTAACACCAAAAAAAATAAAATAAAATAAAAAATAAAAGGGTTTTGTTGCTTTTGGCAGTGACATTCTTAGACCTAAGTATGTGTGTAGTGAATTAATATAGTATATGAATCACAAATTGACAATTGATGTGATTTTTATTTTATTTTTTTTTCATTTTCTTTAATTTACTATTAAGTACATATATGTATTAGCACTACTATTGAGTATTGACTAATGTTGAATTTTAGTACACAGTCGCGTTAAGTCGCGTTAGGTAGAATGATTCATTTTTTATTTATTTATTTGTGATTGGACCACATCAGCAGTCAACATAAAACACTTATTCACCTAAGTTGGTGTCCGCGGTCGGCTTCTTTTATTCACTAATTATTAAAAAATTTACAATAGTGTGCACCCTCTAAGTAATTTTCTAACAAGATAGAAATTTTACATAATCAAGGAATGACATATTTGTACTAAAGAAATGTCAAGAATTATAATACACAATCTAGAATGATTTCACCTTACTAAATTTGAGAGCAAGAGATCTGGTATGATTCAAACTTGCTGATTCTCTTGCATAAGACCAGGCATAATTTTGGTTGTCATCCTTTCAGTCACATGATTCCGTGTGGCATGTAATGCAATAATCATGATGTAGCTTGAAGTTGACGTGAACTTGAATTTTGTATATTCAGGTCTACTTGCATAAGACTGGGCATAATTTCGGTTGCCATCTTTGCACTTGCACGAAGATGATTATGTGTGGCATGTAATGTAATGACCATGATGTAGTTTGAAATCATTTAAACTTGATTTTTGTATATTAAGGTTTACGATTTTCAAGTTTATACGTTACTATGTGATTTGAGAGTGATTGACGATGCAATAATTTTAAAATCGAATCATTTAAATTATTAAAATATGTCATAATTATGGTAACATGTACATTGGAGGACTAGCCGACTAGGATAAACCTAGTTCCATGGGAGGGAGCTAAAATGCTTTTAACTTCATCCACATTGTTTGGAAGTATATTAAAGGGGTATAAGATACTTTTAATGGTGGCCTCAATTTGCCACCAAGAAAAGACATCAAATTGATTTAAAATTATATGATTAATTCTATATTATTGTCATGATATCCAAAGTTTTGGTCAATTTGGTACGGGGACGGCACACCAAATGAATAGGCAATTTAGTATGAAACAATGTGACAGTCCTTTACATCATCTGACATTTAATACATCAATTTAATACATCTGACATTTATTCCATCAATTTAATACAACTCACTTCTTTGGTATATCCACCTGACCAAAACCACCATTGGTGCAAGTAAGATCACCATTGGTAATATCAAATTTTGTTACTTCTTAAGGGACCGACATCTCCATCATCGTACCTATCAGCTACTTCCACACTGTTTGGACGTACATCCCGGCCAATTGCAATCTCATAAATTCATACTATAATTTTTAGTCCCAAATTTCTGTGTGTGTGTGTGTGTGTGTGTGTATTTGATTCAAAAAGGTAATAATTATGGAATCATGTTCCATCAGTTCATATCAAATATGGCCAGAAAACACCCCAAATCCGAACTTTCTCAGCACAACAAAATTAAGATGTAGGCAACATATGGTATATTAATCACGACTGGGAATAAATAAAATGAAATTCGGAAAAAGAAAGCAGCATTTTTCTTTCACCTTCCTTTCTACATGATGAACATTTAATATTTAGCCAAACTAGAATTAGCAAAAATACAATCTCAATTTAGCATGAAGGAAAAAGGAAAAGTAAAAGAAGGAAAAGGGAAAGTAAAAAAATACATATATATCAGCAGCACAACAGGACAATTGAAGTACAATAGAAAATTCAACAAAATAGAACAAGAAGGAGCATCCAAACAGCCTCCCAAGTTTGGACTATATATAAGCTGAGGATTTGAGCAATCCAATCTGTCACAAAATCCATGGCAACCACCATCCCAAGAAACATGTATTCGGATGTCGCAGCTGATATTGGTTCAGGGGACTCGCTCTCCTTTGCAGGCCTCGTATGCATTCAGGACCAGCATTCGAAGCCCGAGTCAGGACATGTAGTCCCTCCACCTTTTCCAAAGAATGCTACCCAAATTCAGAAACAAGACACAGAATTTGAATTTGGTAATGCATCACCAGGCTCAACTGCTGACAGTTCTAATAAGAATTCACTGGCTGATGTGTTGGTCACCAATGGTCAGCTCTTACCAGAAGCAGCTTCATTCCAATCAAATTCACCACAACTTTCCAGGCGTGTTACTTTCAAACACTCATCACCACCAAGTCGCACCAGCAGCAGGAGATCAGATTACAGTGAGTTGAGTCCCGACAAAGCTGCTAGAAAACCAAACAATGATGTGAGAGACAAGGCAAATAAGAAACGAACCACTGCAGGCCAATCATTTGGTCAGAAAATGTTTCAGTCGTTTTTAACCCCATGTAGGACTTGCCGTGCTTCCGAACCATCGCCATACACGGAAGTACACACGCTGCAGCAAGCAAATACAAAGTTACAGTAACTCCAGGGTCAATTTTTCTTCAGTTCAGCACTAGACTAATTTTTAATATCATGATTCGGCTATTATTAATCTTGAAGTTGTGTAAGTGTTTGGGCTTGTTAACAGCCACCATTCAGAGTTGCATTCCAGCGGGTCTTCTTTAACAGTTTGTTAATGACTCGAGCACTAATAATTCGATAACTAAATTAATCTTTCAGTGCTTTGCTGCAATGCTGCATCTCTAACTTCTTCCGTTATTGTGTAGATCAACTTTCTGTCAAAATGCACCCCAGTAGTCACATCTGCATATTAAGACATAGCCACAGATTTCAGAACTTCAAACATTTAAGTTTATGTACTATTATCAATGCATTTAATGAATCATATGACATGTTTACAAGAATGTTATGTTTATGATAGAAGCTCTCCAGAAACATCCAGATCCAAAGCTAAGGTTTACAAAATATCTACACTTATCTGATACACGAAAGAAACTCTCTGACCCTTTAATTTAAACCTGCGACTCTTGTCATCTTGTCCCATGTCCCACGGATCAGTGTGAATACAATATCTTGATCAAATAATTCGGGGAAATTAAGCTTGCCTTGAATTTGATCCTGAGTCCCTGAACTTATGAATAAAATTAGAGTATCATAAATCTTGGCAATTTGAGGGTAAGTCTAAATGAACACAAGCTGACCAATAATAATTGTGCTACATCTCATTTATAAGAGCACAAATAAGCACTTCCTGATTTGGATTTAAGAACACCCGGAAACAGCTCTTTTATGCTTCAGAGCCATTTACCCACCTTATATTTTGCCAGCTGGCCCAGCTCTACCTTTGCCCATTACCCTTCCAACCACAGCATGTGTTAGCAAGCTTATGTCACCACACATGGCATGGAAGACTACATCAGGCCATCCCTTTGGGTGATTGTGCATAGCAATGCTTCTCAGTTCTCACAATTGTTTATCTGAATGTTTTTGGTTCCATCACTGTTTTGCAGAATTTTATCACGATTCGCTATGATTCCAATTATTATGGTAGGATACTAATCACCTAAGGCTGTAGCTCGTTGCTTTATTTTTTTTTTGATAAGTAAACATATATAAACAAAGGCGCTCAAAAGGGGAGCGAACCCTTAACAAAGCAAACAAAGCCATGGGCGCCACTACAACAATAAGTTGTCAACAAAATCCAAAAAGTTGTCCAAAGACGAACTATTTTTCCCAACGACCCAAAAATAAAGAGAATGCAAAATATTCAATTTAGTAACCCACGCCGGCGACTCCTTGCCTTTGAAAGATCTCCTATTCCACTCATGCCACAGCCACCGCCATATACAAAGGGGGATTACCCTCCAAGCTTTTCTAACACGGCTGCCCACTGGTCTCCCTTTCCAGGCCTCTAACATTTCCATCTTGGTCCTTGAAGCAACTCATTTAGCTCGTTGCTTTATGGTGTTTAATTCATCTAATCTTTCATTTAAATACACTCCTTACAATATAAAAAATCTGTTTTTGGATTCATTCTCAGGCTTGTTAAGAATTTTCAAAATCAGTTTGGTTGAGAGGAAATATTTCTGTTGAATTGGATCACGTCATATACGAAGAGACCATTTATGGAGTTACCAGTTCATCGAAATTACTTCCCTCGAGACTACAAAGCAGTATAAGGTGCATGCCAGCTGAAAATGGAGGGCTTACTAGAACTCGGTCAAATACCATCCAACATGTGGACAAGCGGCCTTCAAGATTTGAAAAGCTGATAAGTCATCGAGGATGGGTGATTTCTGAGGATTATGGGGTTAGCAGCAATGGTGAGATTCACAAGAAGTAAATGCCAGTTTACTTGCTCTGAGAAACTCTAGAAAATTGGTACCTCTTGAGATAAGAAATCAAATTTGAGGTTAATCGTTGAAATGAAGCGAAGTTCTATTAATGCGTTTAGTGAAACCTCCCTATCCAAATCTTTATAGAATTGCAGCAAGAAAGAATGCATTTCCTAACCAAAATCAAACCTACTCAGATGTAACCCTAACATCTATAATGGTGTAGACAGGAACGGACTTTTCTTCTATGGGTGGAGTTGCCCATTTTAAAGCTAAAGCATTTCAGGTAGTGTTCCTTGTTCTTTCGGTTGCACAATAAGATCTTCAGTTTTGCTTGCTTCGTTTTGATAAAGATTGAAATTATATTTTTGTACGGTTACACAATAAGATCTTCAGTTTTGTTTGATTCGTTTTGATACATCATGTGTATATGAGTTTCGTCCCCTTTAACCTATTTCTCTGATATTCTTATCTATCCAGATATATATATTTAGACAATAACTTTACAACTTTATGAATCAAGAGCTATATTTGTTAAGTTAGCAAATACGGTTCCCATTGCACCAAGCAATTAATCAACAAATAGAAATATCTACAATTCATTTTTAGTTGAAGTATGACTTTCCATTCTTAATTAGAGTTCTTATACGGGCTATGGCATCTAGGAAAACCAATTAGCTTTGATATTTCTATGTGTATTGTAATGAATCCACTTTTTATGTCCAGCAACACGGGTGACAAAAAAAGGGTAGAGCTTCCCCTAACAATACCTACCTCTCCTAATCCCCATCCCTCAATCAATATTTGAACCCTGCACCTTTCACAAGGAATGGGTGGGAGATACCATCTAAGGTAGACAGTTGATGGTTGCAATGGATCACATCCCCTCTTTTTTTCTCTCTCAATTTTAGTAATCCTTCTAAACTCAATCGCATCCCTCTCTCTCTCACGCACACCTGAATCTCTTAGTTTCTAGAGCTTGCACGGCTCTCCCTCTCTCTCAAAAGTAAACCCAATAAAGCTTTAAAACACATCCTATTCACACACATAGATACACGTACACGTACACACACACACACACAAAAATATATATAGGGTAAATTACAGTGACACCCCTTGTGGTTTGCCCTATTAACAACCATATACAACTTGGCCTAATTTTGAACAATGACACTCCCCGCACACCTGAATCTCTTAGTTTCTAGAGCTTGCACGGCTCTCCCTCTCTCTCAAAAGTAAACCCAATAAAGCTTTAAAACACATCCTATTCACACACATAGATACACGTACACGTACACGTACACACACACACACAAAAAAAAATATATAGGGTAAATTACAGTGACACCCCTTGTGGTTTGCCCTATTAACAACCATATACAACTTGGCCTATTTTTGAACAATGACACTTCCCGTCAATTTTTGGATCCAAAACAGCCTTTAAAAAAATGGAAATGCCTACATTGTCCTTCAATATTTAATTTATTTTTATGAGAAAAAATCATAACTATAAAATGACAAAAATACCCATGTACAATGACACCTCACCCGTCTCTCTCTTTCTCTCTCTAATCTCTCATCTCCCCCATCTGTAAATTAGAAACCCTCCCCTGCCGCCTCTCTTCCTCTGCTTTCTCGACGCCCTATCTCCGCATACACTCGTCTGGTTTGCGAAGTACATCCCACCCCTACTACATCTTCCACAACCCCATACTCTTCTCCACCCACAGTTCTGAAACCCAATATTCCTTGTCACTAGTGAATTTGAATACACAAAGCTTAGATTTTCCTCTACAACAACGTGAATTGTCAAATAATTCAAGCAAACACTCGGGATCAAGAAAATTGACAAGCTCACAGTTGGAGGCGACAGTTATCCACCAAAACGGAGCCCTCATGACCCGATTGGTGGAGTTCTTGATCGGTTCGAAATTTACAATGGGATGGTGAGGAAAGGTGTTAAGCAAGATGATCATGCTTTTCCCTTTTGTTCACAAGATGTGTTCTGATTATTAGGAGGTTCATAAAGGCAAAGAGGTTCATGGGTTGGTGTTCAAATCGGGTTTTGATTATGATATGTTTGAGGGTAGTACCCTTTTGTTGTTTTATGGTGGTTGTGGTGGTTTGAGGGATGTAGTAAGAGTGTTTGATGAAATAATTGAGAGGGATGTCATGTCGTGGAATACGATTGTGGTAAGGCTTTTGATTTGTTTTGGGAGATTGATTGAGGTGTGGATTTATGCCGAATTATGTTACTGTTATGTGTGCGTTTTTTTCCCCGAAAGGTTTGTTATGGATGTGTTTCCTGTGTGCACGGAGCTTGAGGATGAGGTAACAGCAAGGAGGATTCATTGTCATGTTGTGAAGGTAGGTTTGGATGCTAAAGTGACTGTTGGAAATGCTTTGGTTGATGCATATGGAAAATATAGGAATATATGCCAAGGCTTCAAAGAAATTTTCAATAAAATGCTTTGGTTCGGTGATTGTCAAGGCTTGAAGCATAACGAAACACGACTGAAAAATAAACACATCACACAAAACACAAAGATTTATACGTGGTTCGGCAAAGCCTACGTCCACGGTGGAGATCCGGCGAAAGTCTTCACTATGGGTACAATCGGAGATTACAAGTTTCAGCACCTCACTCTCAGTTTTTTACGAATTTCAATGTCTCTCACACCCACTCCAAACCCTAAACGCTCTTATATATTGGGACTACAAGAGAGTACTAATTAGGATCCACGAACCATGAGCAAATCCACGTCAAAAATTTTCCTTCCATACAAATCTCAACAAATGGGTCACTATCGCACTGCGACTTGGCACCAAATTCGAGCCTCAACATCACACATATGAGGATCATCTTCATCTAGTCCACAGAGAGAGAGAGAGAGAGAGAGAAGGGAGATTTGGGCATATAGAAAGAGAGATGAAGGGGAATTTTTGTCCATGTAAACAATCTAATTAGGGTAAATTAGTAATTCCATAATTCACAAGTCAAAGGGCAATAATGTCAATTCATGATGTGCCAAATGTTGCAGGTGATGGTTAGAGTGTCTTTGTTAACTTTTTCAAACTTGAGGGGGTGTCATTGTTTAAAAATGGGTCAACTTGTATATGACTGTCAAGAAGGCAAACCTTAGGGGGTGAGAGTGTAATTTACCCACACATATATATATATGTATGTATGTATTTGTGTGCATGATCTAAATTCGAATTAGTATATCAAAATTTGGGTGAAGGAAATGCATCCATTGTGTTGTTTCCCAAGAGTTCGAGGATCAGTCGAGGCAGGGGCGGTGCTATGACTCTCAGCGGTATAGAGCTTTTTAGAGAGAAAATGAAGAGCTTTTTAGGGAGAGAAACTTGGAGAGATATATTGTACGATGGATAGTGAGAGAATGTAAGACATAAAAGATGAAGGGCAATTACGGCATTAAAAGATGCAAGAATAAAAAGTATTGTGTTTAGGGACTTTTTGTAATTTTATTATAGCAAAAAAAGAAGAGTGGAGCTGAGTACTTTATTGGAGTGCCAATATCAGCACCACATATATATATATATATATATTATTTGTCGTGTCTCCGCCGTGCCCTTTCTAATTTTTTTAGGATTTGTCGTGTCATGTCCATCTTCGTATTTGTATCCGTGCTTCTTAGCTTACAACTAAATAAGCATGTCAACAACGTATTAATTAATCCAAGGCATGTCATAAGCAAAATGGTATCTAAAGTACCTTGCCCAGAGATCTCCATTTTATGTATATGAATGTAAAAATTATATAATTCCTAAAATATGCACATGCCATCTAAATACATGGGATCTAAAAAACCGCAACTACAAACCATGATTCTCATTATATTCCAAAGGCTAAAAAGGGGATATCATCCACAAAACAAAACATCTCATAGAAAAATTCCTAATAGTCCACACAAGTTTCAATCCTAGATATAAATAGTCAAGAAGATAGCCCGAAAGGAATGCCCATGACTTTCAAGTTGGTAGAGCAAATGTCCATGACTTTCGAGTTGGTAGAATGTATAGGACACCATACAATGGAATGCCAATAGGCCTAGCCCGCTCAAGATTTGCCGTACTTCTCAATATATCCCTGCAGAGAAAATAATTTCAGTGTCAAACACCACATCGAGGTCTTCCCTAGTATACAGACTCTTGACATTGAGACACTCACCTCAACAAGCTTCGTAATTTTCGGTTGGGATAAAGAAAGATACTGCTTAATTGATTCCACAGTACTTGGAATCTGTTGGGGTTGCAATGTGCCAAGGACTTTTTCAACTGCTTTCTTAACTATCATTTTGTGACCATCCTTGCTCAGAAGACCCTCACGCCAAGTTGGTTTCACCAATTCTTTCACAAAATCTACAAGAGCAGCACGAAAATGTTTAAGTGCTTTTGGTTCCTTGTGCCCTTCCCCATTTATCATAAGGTCAACATCAACTTCATTGTTTGCTCTACTCCGGTCAACTTTTATTTCCTTCCTGTGTCTCGGCCTATCGTTTTGAAGTCCATGATCAATATTTTTTTTATTTGCTTTCATAGTGTCTTTAACATGAGCAGGGTTCAAGAGCTTCTCTTCAATGGGAAAGGTATTTCCATTTTTCTGTTCAGCAGCAGAAGTTCCATTAGTTTCTGCTTCACTTGTAAGCAAATCCTTTCTATAAAAGTTCTTGTCCATCACATTGTCATGGAATTTCTGATGACCAGATATAGAATGTTTTTCAGAATTATAATCTGTGCCAAGGGTCCCTGTTAAAACAGGATCATCATCTACATGCTGATGTGCACTCTGGAGGGATGTCCCTTGACTAGAGAAGGAAAATCTTGGGAACCCATCTCCTAAGCTGGGTTGCTCAATGCTATCACGAATAGGGTCGTACTGGCTTCCCGGAGATGATCTATTTTGAGGAGTAATAAAAAATGATGGTCGAAAAGGAACAGATGGCTCCCAGTCATTGGAAGAAAAATTTGTTTTACGTCCAGCTAAGAGCATTGAATCCCCAGAACTATTGGTTAGAGAAAAGTTATCTGATTTAGAACCAGAGAATGACGAGGAACTGCGCAGCGAGAAAGCAGATCCAAGAGCATGATGTTCTTTATCACTGTCCAAAGGCTTCTGAGCACCAAGTGGATCCATATTGAAAGAACTAAATGACAAAGATGAGCTTGTCCAAGCTGAAATATGTTGTGACGGCAACATGCCAGTAGACTGTAGAGAAGTGCTTAAGCTTGAACTCATAAGATGGCTTAACATTGGCGAACTTTGTCGATCATTGATTATATACAGGCCTCTCTTACCAGTCATTTCTTCCAAACTTGTTGCAGAAGAGGGAACCCCAGTGCTTCTGTATGTATCTGACCATGTATTTGAGCTACTTGAGAAAGATTTTTGCTCAAGTACCAAGCTCCTCCCACGGACTGGAGAACTGCCTTTAACAATAGGTGGAGCATAGTTTCCATAATCATCGGACCACCAATTTTGTCTCAAACTCCCTCTTCCACCATCCTTAAGAGGAGAGATAGACCTAGAATTATCTTTACGTAATAGCAATTCTCGGGAATCAGGGGAAACCCCAGAAGAAGATTCCTCTCTTTGAAGAGAGAGAAACTTGTGCATCTCACCAGACTGGTTCAACCCTTGGTTTTCTCGATCTTCCAGTGACGGGATCCTTTCCGAAGAAAATGAAGTACTATATGTAACCGAAGAAACTGCTGCATCAGGGAAACCAGGTAGCCCCAAGCTCTCAGTACCATCTCCCAAGCCTGATACAGGAGAGGGTGCTATTAGAATCATCACGGTAAAGAAGGTACTAGGGCATCTATATTCTACAAGAAAATACATGTTACCTTCATCAGCCGGGAGTTCACTTTTCTGATTTCCAGCAGTTACATCACCCTCAGGCCTTTGGCTAGTGACATTCGCAAAATCTTTTTTATGGAGGAACCTACATGAATTCCCTTTAATGCACCAACCTTTAGCAAAAAAGTCACATATAACTGCTGGTCGCTTGTTTTCATCCTTAAACTCTGCACCAGGGGACAAATTTCTGGGCCTTATCTGGCGCACAGCCAATCTGGAAAACCTAGCAGTCGTTAGGAAATGGTTTGAATTCGTGGGAAAAAAAAAAAAAAAAAAAAGGAAAAGGAAAAATAAACTACAACCGCAAAAGAAAGTGAAATTAGTGTAAGCCTACACTTTGTTGTACGATAAGTAAAATTCAATAATTTGCTAAAATCAGACCACCACACCTTGATGTCCTTTGCTCCATATCCTCCCTAGGCTGCATGCTCATTTCCATAATTTCATCCTCAGAATACATAATGGCCTTATCCTCCTCACCGGAGCCATCTCTAATCGAAATTGAAGCAGCCACTTCTTTACCAGAAACACTGAAGGGCTTAGTGTTCTCGGAACTAATAACACTACTATTGCACAGATGAACCTTGCTATCATAATGTGCATCATCATGGTTTTTAGGGGTTCCCTTTCCTGGAAGCATTCCAGAATCATTCTTATCAGCAGTGGATTCTTGAAGTCCATTGTCATCAGAAGTAACCTGGTGCTTTCCTATCCTTGGAAACTTGGAATCCTCAATATTGATGCATGGTTCTTCCTTTTGTCTTGTCTCACCTGGACCAGAAAATTTCGGACTGCCATATGGTTGTAGATTTGCTATAGGTCTTTCTGGAGTAGAAGAAAGTGATCTTAATTGCTCTTCATGCCCCACGGACTCCATACCTTCGCTATCATCTACATGGAAGAGATACAAAAATCAAGAATAGAAGCAAAGTGAACATCTCCTCCTAACAAATGCTTGCAGCCAAATATAATAAAGGTTGGGTCCTAAGAGATTGTTCTAAGGAGTCCATCTAAACAACACTCAACAATGAATCACCTAATCAAGTATTTTTAATTTAAAGAAGAATTTGTACTGATTGTATGAGATGTACCTTAAATGCCATGACCTCTTAAACCTCATCGATGGAAATGAGAGGATGTCATGGTACAGAACTCTTAAAGCCATGATATAAAAGACTGTGCCTGTTGGCAGGAAACTAAATTTTCTCAAGAGAAAAAAGCTATCCAGATATGAAGAAAGTCAACAATTAGAATTGGTGTGAATTCTCCAAATTTTAAAATCCAAAGATTGATAAGCTGATCTTTCCAATATTATATTAATGCCCGTAGAATAGAGGAAAAGTGCTTATAGAATATTCAAGGTCAATTCACTATTGTGGCAGTAAACGAGCCATTACAAAATTTCAAGAGCGAGTGTAAGCAAATGGTGAAGGGTCAGACCAGCACCCTAGGTTTTGGTATGTGAGTATGTCTAAGTCCCAGACTAGACCCGGAAGAGGGATGGGCAGGTTTTTTGTAATATTTTAACTAACCATAACATAAATTTAAAATTCTTTAGAGTTTTAACCAATCTAAGCAATAAGTTAATAACGAATAACTGAAATTAAAGCATATAGTAAACTAAGAGCATCCTCACACAGAAACACCAACTTCACGCAAAAAGCCCATAGGAGAAAAACCAGGCACTAGTTCTGGTAGAAACAATCACTCAGGTACGGATGTATAAGAAATTGCCCCCACTGAATTTTATTATTATTTTTTAATTTATAGTAATATACCCTGCTATTTTATTCATTTTGATATATATATACCTATAAAATTATACCATCGCCCCAACTGAAATTATTAAAAACTTACACTATTGCCCTGCACCCCACCCCCCCCCCCCCCCCCCCCTTTTCTTCCCCCAACACATAAGTTCCCGTGTCCATCCCTGCAATCACTACTGCGAAAAGGTTACAAATCTTAAATGCACCTAAAGTTGGCATCAACTCAGATTGACGCAAGATTGTATGCTCGAATTCTACTACTGTCCATCCACACGATTTGCTTCTTTTTCCTTGGTTGTTCTCCTTCAGCTAGCTATCCGGTCTTCTTATCCTTTCTTTGCGTGGAACATGGTGCTGAAATTACTTGAAACTTTTTTTTTTTGATTAGTCTACTTGAAACTTGTATGATCTCAGTGTCAACACTCAAATATAACTAATCATCTACAGCAGTATGCAAAGATGATGAAAAGCCAAAAAGCAATGCACTTAAAGCCTATGGGTTCTGTAAGAATGCTAAGAAGATCTAATGACAATAAGTTGTTAGTTTTGAAACCTTATGAGAGTACGATGGATGTTCACAAGTCTTCTTTCCCTTCGAAGGCAGTATGGTGCACCAAGGCACCGCTCAAGGTGGCCATTTTGGTTGAAACTTTTCATAGAGGAGAGCGATAGGCCGGTTTGAAGAGCAAGCTTGAAGATAAATGGAGAGGTCATTCATTCATAGCAGAAAAAGCGCTCACTCACTCGTATCTGAAAACGCAGGCAGCGGGACTCTCTATCCATCTTCTCTTGCATTGTCCGGTGGCTTGAGACAGTTGGGCTATGCTTTATAGCGCCCATTGGGTTATGCCGGAGTCCCCACAGAGATGCTTGAGGCTTGGAGAGGTGTGCAATGAAGTGTCAAGTCCGAGATGCTTGGAGGTTGACGACCCGTTGTTTATCGTGGAGATTATGGCATAAGCGGAACATGCAGTCCTTTGAAGGTGTTGAGATTCCGGCATGGGAGCTTAAGTTCTCTATACTTTATTTTTTTTAGGTTCAGGAATGGAATTGTAAATTGGTGGGGGATATAGTGTCTTTTGTGGATACATAGATTATATAGCAGATCCTCTTGGTCTTGCTTTTGTTCTTGGGTTGCGCTCCCTTTGAGCTTCTTTTAATAAAATCTTACTTATTCAAAAAAAAAAAAGGCTTCAGTATTAAAAACATGTTCACAAACAAAACTCACAGACTCTGGTTAATCCATCAATTGGGTTGATCAATCGAACTAGGGCAGTGAGGACCAATTGATAAGATCAATTGATCAAACTCCGTATTTTACAAAAACCTTGAATTTTTAATTTGAAAATAGCTTTTATACACTTGGGAGTTAGGAGGTTGAAGGTGTTCAATAAGGCTTTGTTGCAGAAATGGTTATGGAGGTGAACATGTTTTTATACACTGTGTCGTTGGTGGTGTCAGCAGAAAAGGTCAATTCGGAAGACGTCTTGGAAGGCCCAATGATGAGAATAGCTATGCAAAAGCCAAAGAATGACTTTTAAATATTGTCTTGCTTGCTGTCACCCAACAACATTCTAATCCAAGGGCTTTAGAGCAAGACACGTAGATGAGGCAAGCCCGCAATTGCATGGAAAAGGAAGATACTTCGCACATTGGAAAGGAGCGTTGGGTCTTGCATGGAAAATGAATGTTCAAAGCTCCACAAACAGACTGAAGAAAGCATAACTGTTTGGATTTAGACATAAGAGCCAAACACCCCCCATTTGTCTCATCCCCATCCTCTCAACTTTTTCTATAAATAGAGGTATCTGCAAGAGAGAGAGGCGTCCCCGATCACACACAACACTACCTTAATGTAACTATTAGCTTGGCTTAGTTAACCTAGCCTAGCTTAGTTAAATTTAGTGCAGTGTAGTGTAACTTTAGCATGGTTGTTAGCTGGTTACCCGCACCCATTGATGCTTCTTCATTGAAGTTTCAAGGTCTGTTCTTGGTTCTGTTCAATCATTAGCACCAACCCTCGTGATTGGTGTCTTTTGGTTTGTTGTTCTCCATTTCATATCTTGTAATCAATGTTGTTTCGAAAGCTCATTTAATGAAGTTTTGATCGCACAGAGGTACTGCATATTCTCGTTGATGAGTTGTACTGTGTCTTAAAGTCTTTGGATCTCCAAAGCATTAAAGAACCTTGTGGAAGGGGGTTATTCCCAGCCCTTCTTACAATCGTCTGATCATCTTCGACCAACCTTGGTCATCTTGGGATGCTGTTTGGCCCCACACACACTCACCATCCACACACTTGGATCCTTTTAGGTCCTCGCATACCCGCGCGCGCGCGCGCGCACACACACCACCCTCCAAATGAGGTCTGAGACCGAAGGCTCCGCCCTTTGGACCGAACACTTTCTGCAGCACCAAGTGGTCGATACTAATTCGCACCATGTTGGAAAGAGAAACCAACCTTTGTCGCACTGGAGCCAAAGAATCACGCAATAAACGAAAACTTGGTCAATCCCATCCACCCGCGCTCACAGCCGAAGAGTAGTGCTTGCCATAGCAGCGTGTTCAGGCACGCAGAAAACATTTAGAGCCGAACTGGTGGGTATTTGAAAACTCATCCAGAAGGGATGCAATGAATTATTTTACGTTTCAAAAAAAAAGGATGGGATGGAATGAATTTTCAAAGCACATTCAGTTTCGGGTGAAGAGTGGGAGGTGTGTTGACTTCAGGATGGATGTGTGGTGTGGGAACTGAGCACTAGCATCCACATTTCCGAGCCTCTTTTGGATTGTCATGGACAAGGAGGTTGTGGTTGCCTACTGCTATCATCTTGATAGTGGGAGGATGTCATGGGATATACAGTTTGAGAGATCGGTGCTATTGATAACTCAATTCATTGTTTAATTTTGAATTTATTAAGCACTTATCCAATTAAGTGCGTTTGATAACGCAATTTGAATATCATAAAAACGGTAAGCGCCACTTAAAATGAGGTAAAATTTTAAGTGATATGTACATCACTTATCACTGAATGCTGAAATGTTTAAAAGATAGTTAAAACTATTTAATTTTTAATTACCACTTAAAAGCTTCAGCGCTTAAAATTCAGCTTTATCAAACAGCACCATCCTTTCAGGATTGGGAGTTGGGTGGTGTTTATGAGTTTCTGGCATTGTTGTACCACCAGGACATGGATGGGATGGAGCTTGACAGGTGGTGTTGGAGGACACCAGTCGTGGGTTGTTTATGGTGCATTCATTTTATTGGTGATGCTTGCGAGCCTCCTTTTCCAAGGAAGGAGGTCTGGCATACCGGGGCTCCTCTCAAAGTGGGGTTTTTTTTTTTTTTTTTGGGGGGACAATGTTGTTGGGGGAGATTTTGACAATCGACAATCTGAAGAGAAGACGTCATATTGTAATCAATTGGTGTTACATGTGCAAAAGAGGTGAGGAGTCAGTTAGTCATCTTCTCTTACACTGCCCAATGGCCGGGGATAGTTGAACTATGATCCTTGCCCTTTTTATGTTCAGTGGGTTATTCAGAAGTCCCTGAAGATGTTTGAGGCTTGGAGAGATTGTATAGTACGAAGGCAAGTCCAAGAAGCTTGGAGGGTGGCAACCCTTTGTATGTGGTAGGGCTTATGGCAGGAGCAGAACAAGTGATCCTTTGATGGAGAGGAGGTTCCTACATGGGTGCTAAACTTCTCTATTCTTAATTCTCTATTTGTTTTAGTAAAGGGTTCTAATTGTAAATCTGTGTGGGATATAATGAATTTTATGGATACATTGACAGTACAGCGGGCCTTGTTGGACCTTTGTGGAGTTGTATTTAGGATGCACTCCCCCTCTTGAGCGCTCTTTACTGAAATTTTACTTTAAAAATAAAATTAAAACTATACGCATTCAATCATGTACACAATGCAATCTAATCATGATAAATTATGAGAATGCTCAAATAAAATGCCAACTTGGTAGATGGTACTTGAGTAAGAGATTTTATCTTTTTACCCTTGCTAAAGTCTTGAATTCATCCATCGAAGACCTTTTAAATCAAAAGGCAACACCAAGCTAACTAACCAAACTAACTGTTTTTTAAACAAGCAAACTAAAAATACAAAAACA